TTTCATTTACACACACACACATACACATACACACACACACACACACACASACACACACGCAAAATCAAGACTATGCCTATAAGCCCTGGGAAAATCTTTTGAATTCTTAATTTGCAATATTCACTTTTTTTTGGGGCGGGGTATGGGGATTGAACCTAGGGGTGCTTAACCACTGAGCCACACCTCCAGTACTTTTTATTTTGGCAGGGTCTTGCTAAGTTGCTTAGGGCCTCACCAAGTTGCTGAGGCTGGCTTTGATCTTGTGATCCTCTTGTCTCAGCCTCCGTAGCCACTGAGCTTACAGGTATGTGCCACCACAGCCAGCAATTGCAATGTTCTTGAAATTTTAACTTAAGCTTATATATTTCTAGAAGAACACTGTTTGCTTCTGCTGCCTGGTGTCACATGGAGAAAGCGCTGCCACACCCAGTGTTGTAAAGCTTCCCCCTTCTGTTCCTGCAGGCCTCACTGCCCTGGGGTTCCATTCAGGTCTTCAGTCACTGTGAGTCCACTCTGTACACAGGAAGCCACCCTCAGCTGTGGGGAACATGCTCCAGACCCCAGGCATGCAGTTCTCGTTCCCACGAGGGTATCGGCGACTTCAGGGTGCTTCCCGTCCCTGTTCAGTTCACTTGGAGAACTGTGACTTCTCTTGGGCACACTGAATTGACAACATCACACTCTGTGCTCTGGGCCATTGTAGGGAAAATAAGGGTTACTGGAACCTAGGTTCTGTGCTGCCCAACAATCTTAGAGCCCAGGTGGCTCTAAGTGACTGACCGTGGCTACGCTGGACAAAGGGATGTCATGTCCTGGGCGGGACAGTGCAGAGTACCACAACATTACTATAATTATATTATTATAATTATGCCAATTAATTCCAGAAGGCAAGCAATTTTAAACCAATGAGTTGCTTATTCCTTGGGTTTTCCACTTGGTATTACAAAGTCCAGTGACTATGAGTCCCTGAAACCATGGGAGGTGAAGCCACATGTAGGGTGTGAGGTAAGGTTCAACTCTCTGGGGGTCAACTGTAGGGTGTGAGGTAAAGATCCAACCATATGGGGGGTCAACCGTAGGGTGTAGATATCCAACCCTAGGGGGTCAACCATAGTGGGTGAGGTAAAGATCCAACCACATGGGGGGTCAACCATAGGGTGTAGAGATCCAACCATAGGGGGTCAACCATAGYGGGTGAGGTAAAGATCTAACCATATGAGGGGTCAACTGTAGGGTGTGAAGTAAAGATCCAACCGTAGAGGGTCAACTGTAGGGTGTAAGGTGATACTTCAACCACAGGGGGGTCAATTGTAGGGGGTGGGGTACAGATTCAAACATAGGGGGTCAATCGTAGAGGGTGGGGCACAGATCCAAACATAGGGGGTCAACCGTAGGGGGTGAAGTACAGATCCAACCATATGGGGGGTCAACTGCAGGGTGTAAGGTGAGGCTCCAACATAGGGGGTCAACCGTAGAGGGGAGGTAAGGATGCAGGTGCATGGGGGTCTCGGTAGGGGGTGAGGTAGGGCTGATAGGGACACTGAGGGCTCACTTGGCATAGCTCTATGGTGTCTTCTAGGAAGCTGTGCACCGTATCTGTCAAGTAAAGAGGATCCATGGTGGCACTTACATGGAGACCCTTCTGATCAGAAAGTGTAGTCTAGGGAGGACTTTTAATTCTTCAGTAAGACTATATTTAAACCAAAAGTAAAGACTGGTTAATTTCCATACTTTTTTTGAATTCTTAATTACTACATGTAATATTGCACCAAGAAGACTCATTAGTTTTCCAATTACATAAAAGTGCTCCATCAGTTAACTGGCCAGCTCTCCACCTCACTCTTCTTCACATTCCCACATAGCACAGGAAGCATATGGTTTCCTTCCATTTCACAAAATTTGATTTCAGCCATCGAGATGCTCATATTTACTCCAGAAAAGAGAAGAAAATAGGGTTTGAGTCAATGTCCTTCCTCTTCCATAGGTGGCTTTACCAAATATTAAGGAACACACAGGGGAGTATCACCCCAACACTAATCCCAGTCTCGACATCCCGCTCACAGCAGCGACACTTGTCCCTTCACACCAAGCCCAGGAGATCCCGTGAGAGGCCTTGCCAGCAGCACCCATGGCTCCCTCTGTCCCTCTGTCGGCCAAGCCGACCCACAGCTTGTTTGCACGCCAGGCCTGTGAGACCCACGTCAGAGCTGATGGAGCTCCAGGGCAAGGTGTGAAGTGACAYATTTCCCTTAGAGCACTGACTGCCCTCCAAACCAGGCTGCAAGAGCCTGAGAAGGGAGGGAGGGTCACCATCAGAGCAAAGCATACCCAGCTCAGCACTGCCACCCAAGACACAAAATGAGGACCCATGAGTTGTTTCCTAAAAACACACCTGAAGTTTTCATATTGTCACAGGAGATGAAGATAAAAAAGTACATCACCCAAATCTTAAGTAAAAGACACCAGGCAAATTAACTTAAAAAAAAAAACTCATTACATGGTCTCATTAGAATATCAAATACATAAGTGAAAGAAGGACATAATTCAAGAACTCATTGTTCACTGGGATTCTTTTAATTTTTACAGTATTTTCAGAGACAAATGGTTGTTCTTCTGAACTTTCTATGTCAATTAATTCCAGGAAGTCTGCACATTTTCTTATCAAGGTCAGCAACATCCATGTGAACTTGTGCATTGACTAGTGCCATCAGGCTTCAGGAGTTCTGCATTCTTTCCTGTAAAGCACTTGAGTTATTGACATATTTACAATGTTGGAGTCATTTCTTGCTGCCATGCTATATGCTTGGGTACACAAATAAAAATTTGCCTGAATGTTTGCATAATTAAGAAGCAAAATATGCTACTGAATATTTAGGTAGTTAAATTGTTTTACTCTAGGTAAGTAAATACTATCTGTTTTGCAAGTAAACATGAACATTCACTTCAGCATGTGCCATGCACTGCTTTGAAGGTGGATGAGGAACGTGGGCACTTATCAGCAGTGCCCTTTAGTGCAAGATGGTATGTCTGTTCTGTACTACTCCATGGCSTAGGGAATCTACAGAACCTGCACGTGGACCAGGCTGCAGGCTCCAGAGTTGCTATAGCACAGGACCTTTTATTCTGTCGTGAAGCAAATGAACCACCTGGGAGACTCCTGTCTCAAGCCCCAACTAGCCGGAACTGCACGTCGGCCCCAAACAACCCCTGCCTCAGCTGCTCTGAGAGGTCGAGGTTACATGCACTCATCTGTTCCAACTCCACCACTTAGAGATGAACAGCATTTCAGGGTTTTTACTTTATTTTTGTTTGTGTGTTTTTTGCATAAGGGAAACTTCACGAGACTGAGAACACTGAAATGTTGACGTGCCATTTTCAGAAAAGTGGCAACTAAGACAGTGGCTGCAGCTTCTATCTAAGACAGTGGCTACAGCTTCCACCACCATGACCTGCTCTCCTGAGCGTCGGGTGATTTTGCTGAGATGCTGCTGTACACTGGGTTTCTGATTCTCAGTGATGCTGCTTTTCATGCGTTGTTCTGGGTAAGTCCAGGAGCAAGGCAAAGGTACCTTGGACCAGCTTGGCTCAACATCAGGGACCTCTGCAGACCCAGAAATGCCAAGGCGTGGGAACTTGGGGGCAGGAGCTGGGGCGATGGCAAGCACACCTCCTTCTTTCAAGGCAGCTTTGGGAATGTCCACCTGGCACTTCTTATGTAACTGTGCGAGTTACGGTGCTCAGGCTGGTGAAAAGTGCTGGTGGTCTTTCCAGTACCTATGCCTCCCATGTAGCTCCGAGAGAGCACAGCCCATGGTTGCCAACACACAGCACAGCCAGGGCTGGAGGCCCTCTGGGGTCCATGTTCACGCCCAGCCAAGGAGTCGGCTGCACAGGAAAGAAGAGAGTTGAGCAAATTATGCACGGCCCAGAGGAGCACACACCAGGGCTGCCCTCCAGACGCACACACACAGCTGTGAGGTACACGTTTCTTAAAAGTGTTTTAAGCATCCTCACAACCCCAGGAGCGAATCATCCGTGACCACTGGGCACCATTAACCACAGCCAGCAACGACCAACAGGAGAAAGAAAGGAAAATTTACGCCTGCGACTGTAAAATAAGAAATCCAAGGTGTACAAACATCCCAAATGGCACAGACAGCAAAGGGTAGGGCTCTGCCACATAGGTGAAGACCTCTCAGAACCACGTGACCACCATGTCACYGGCACCTGAGAATCTGGCTTTCTCCCAAGGCTCTTCTGAGCCAAAGCTCTCAGAGCAGGAAAGGAGAGGAGAACCTTCAAAACGGGTGCCTGCAGTCTGCATGTTTGTTCCCGACTACTTATGTTTTAAACTCACCAATGAAGTCTAAAAAGCTCTCTTTATGTTATTGGAGAGCCATTTAAAAGAACACAAATGGTAATAGATTTGACCAGATCAACAACAATTGTCTTCTGGACAGAGGGTCACAGCATACAGATAGTCTTGTAAAGACATGTGGGTCTCAGTTCTCTGAAGAGTGGACAGTGATCAGCAGCCCCCACTTTGCCCCAAAGACCCGCGTGCTCTCCAGGGGGCAGCAGAGGGGTTGGGCACTCCTCTTGGCCTGCTCTGGAACAGCAGGCAGCACCCCTACTTCAGGCAGCTCCCCCGCAGTCCTGCAGACTGTGACACTCACTGAGATTACACAGATTATCGTGTGGCCTCCTTTCCAGTCTCACACTCGCCACATAATCAGGGCGAGTGATTATAGAGAAGGCCATGCCCATGTGGGGCATGTTTCACAATGCACATGACCGGGTTCACAGGTAGATGACACGAGCACCCACCATCATCACTGAACATGCTACAGAGCTGAAGACACACCATGGAAACAGAGGACAGAGAGAGAAACAGGCCAAGTTTATTTTTACAAAATATAGTCTGTAATTTCAGATACAAAGTACTCCAAGTAACCATACTTAGACGTATTCTAAATTATAATTCTAAGGTTTATCTTTTTTAAAGCTATCTCTGATAAATTTAAAATTTAGTATTTTACAGGTTTTAAATGTCTATATTGAATTTTTATGTTTCATTTTAAAATTGTAACTGGGCATGAATATAATTCTAGACAGATTTCCAAAGTCCAGCCCTGTGTCAGCAGACAGCCTGAACCCATCAGGACCTTGTAACTTCCTTAAGATGAACTGCACTTTCTCTCTTTGCAGTGGTCCCAAACAGAGGCTCATGATTTGGGCCTTTCCCCAGTTTCCTCTGGTCCTGGGTGGCTCAGGCTTTTCTGACACCATTGTAAGGCTGCACCGTGCTCTCCCAGGTAAGCTGTTGGATATGCTGCTGTCCAGTGCTCCCTGGACGGAGCCTGGCAGGAGCCACTGTGCCCTGCTGGATTTCCCCCATGCACAAGTCCCACCCAGTCCTAGCAACTGCCAGGCCAGCACTTTTTATTCTGGATCCCTAATTATATAAGTTGATAGAAGGTGACTCAAGAGTGTTTCGGAGTCACCTTCTGCCAGAATTCTGGAAAATGTCTTTTGCAAGATGAACTCATGCTCTGAGGCTGGCTGGGCCTGCACATGCCTGTGCTGTGCCTTGGGACGACAGGCAGAGGGCTGCTGGCACCACCAGCTGCAGGCCACCAACTGTGCAGGGGCCAGGCCATGTCTATTTCAGTTATGCACATCTGCATATCACTGATTTCTAAAGACAAGCAGTGCAGACTCAGGAGGGGCAGCTTGAGGAATATTTAAAAGTTCATGGCTACTTTTGCAATGATCTTTTTATAAAATTATTCAGACCATAAATTTCTGTATCTAAATGATGAGTGGAAATTTGTTGCCTGAGAATTCTCTAAAATGAGCAACGATTTAATAGAGGCTTTCATTATCGAATAGCTCTTTATTTTAAACTCATTTTCTGTGTGAAGTGTTAAATAACAAACTCTTGGTCTGTTTCTTAAAAGAGCAAGCATCCATCTGCCATCATCTTGGAGACTTGGAAAATGCTTAGTCTTTCTTTCTTCAAAGAAAGAGCAGGGGACCTTGATTTCTATCTAAATTAGTAAGAACAGTGCTCTAGCCAGTACTGACAGTGTGCACAAAGATAAACACACACAAACAACAAAGAGGCCCAGCAGCTGGAARTGCTAACAATCTTCCTTACAGAAAGAGTCAGAACACCCTAACTCGTCTTTGCAACTTTACGAGACAGAGCACAGCAGTATTCTGCAGGCTACAGAGGTTTCTTCCCCTYCATTTGTACCACTTGTGGAAAATACAATACTTTTGATATATTTTACATATGCATCTGCAAACTCCAAAGGTGGGAGAATAAGAGCTCTGAGAGCACAGCCACTTCTGGCCACCTCCGTCACGCTGCGTGAGAGGCAAGACTGGGCTCTCCAGGCACCTTCTAAAAGGCCCCCTGCACAGCCATCTAGCTGTCGGCCACTCCGTGGACATGGTCCCTGTGCACCTTGAGGTAGTCGTTCCTCGTAAACTTCTTGTGGCAGAACTGGCACTCTGCCAGAGGACGGTGGGGATTGTGGGTCATCTTGTGTCGAATCAGCATCTTCTTCAGGCTGAAAGCCAAGTCACAGACCTAGAAGAGACCCAGAGACACCAGTCACACCTTACTGAGAAGCCTCAACTGTCATTCTCACAATAGACTTTATGCAAATTCCTGCTATCCAGTATGCACTCACAGGAATTTAACACCTAACTAATGGACTAAGAAATTCATTACTGTCCCCAGGGATATTGCATTTACTCATGTCCAGTGGAGAGTGGTGACTTGAATCATGGTCTCTGACTGCCTCGTGGCTGCGTTTGTGTTGGGAACTTCCTGTGCCAAGGTGCAGGTCAAGATTGCCCAGTTGCTACGGTGACGCCCAGCCTGAGGACGTCTGTAAAAAGGTACAGAGCTATATCAGCCTGGACCTTGAGCTCAGGCACAGCTCCCAGGGATAGAGAATTCTGAGCTTAACAAGATGATCCTAAAGTCTTGCCAGTGCTGCATCCTTCAGATYGCCTGCTTTGCAGAAACTTTACCGCAAATAACCTCTTGATAAAACCTATGTATTAAACGTGCTAAGCCAGCTCTGGATCACTGCTGCTCCATCAGAGGACACTGTCCCACTTGCTCCCAGCTTTCTCTCTTATGTGTTTGTCTTTTCTCAGTCCCCCATTGCCCCTTACTGGTTTCTGAATTAACAGCCACTGCAGAGCGGGTGTGGCAGCATCCTTTGTGCCATGACCACCCCATCGCACCAGCAGCTGGATTTAAACACTGCAGAGAGCAAGTCCCTGGTGAGGAGAGCTTCCTTACCATGGTGGAAGCCCAGGAAGCCTCCAGAGCACCAGGCCCTATGGTCTAGGTGGCTTTCTCTGAATGGCCCAGCCTTGCCTCCCAATCGGCACCAGAYGCCCTCTCTGGGTGACCTTCTGGGAGGCCCCTCTTGTGAAGCCAGTGGTGAACTTCACAGGGAGTATGGTGAGGGTGCTCAGCCCCTCCTCCACTTCCTTCTTTCTTGTGACGCAGGCTTTGTTTGGGGAATGCCACAGTGTGCTCCACATGAGCCCTGCATGGTGCCACCCGGCTCAGTGTACACTGAGCAGCCTAACGATGAACTACGTTAGCACAGAACAMGTGGAGCACTGTTGCCGAAGTTATAATAGGAAACGAAATGGAATTCCCAGTGTGGAATCATTCACAAAAACCCCACTCACACAAGTGTCCTCACAGTCCATCTGTTCTACACTGAAGCATGCTTACACATGCGAAAACAAAGAAATGCGGTGCCAGAGAAGAGCTGTGTGGCACTCTAGGAGAGCTGGCACTGGACAGCAAGGCGAGAAGGCACTGGAACAGTGAGTGTACACTGGGCAGGTGGGAGGGCAGCCACCAGATGCCATGCAGTGGTGTGGTGGGAGGTACAGGAGCTTCAGGTCCCTGGCCCTCCAGGGAAGCCTGCCCTGAGCACCAAGCTTGAAGCAAAACCTGCCATCTGGTCTGGACCCTTGGGTCTGCTCACGTGACTTCTACACAGCACTGCCCACTGTTCCTTGAGCATCTCACCCTCTAGTCTCGGTGGCATGAGGGCAGGGTCTCTATGTTCTGCCACTCAGCATCCAGAGTGTAAGGCAAGGGCCACAGTGATGGCATTCATACATACTCGTGGAATGACCACTGGGGTCTTCTCGCTCGTCACTTACTAAGGAGGTCAGCACAGACAGACTATCCCTTTTAACTCTGCCTCCTTCCCCTGCAAAAGGACGACATGGTGGTTACCTCACAGGATTTTAAAATTAAATAAAATAAGCTATGCAAATTGGTGTTATGTTGTGAACACTAAATAAATGTCAGTGCCTTTTTTTCTTCCTTCTTCTCTAACAAGGAGCATCATCAGTAGCTTGGACAGAATAGCCTGTGTCACCAGGAGGGAGCCAAAAGCCACTGCAGGTGGGATTTGAAGGAGGATGTAGCTGTTGAAAGAGGAGAAACACCTTGGAGTAGGCACGTGGCTTTGCAACAGGTGACTCCCAGACCAGGCTCAGGAGAGGACGCATTCCTCCTGCAACAGCTGACCAGCATGAGTTCTGGGATCACAGTCGGACACAGACTATGCACCTTCACAGTCACTGGAGAACACAGCAAGGTGTCACAGTGGAGGCAGGGGAAGGAGGAGGGACCTGAAACATCGAGCATCGAGCACGGAGACTACAAGACACAGGAACTGTGATGGCAGGGAAGGAGTCAGACCCTGTGGAAGGACTGAGATTAGCAGAAAGGGCAGCCTCCAATAGGTCCTGCACTGGAGACCCATGCTTCCCAGAGTCACACCCCACACAAACACGTGTCCAAAGGGAGGACAGGATGTATGGGAGGCCCTGGGGAGTGGTCACTGCTGAGCAGAGTCCTCCAGGTCCTGGAGGGTCAGAGGCCTCCCAGAACCAGGCATGCCACCTGGTACCTCTAGTTAAGGCGTCATCCACAGGGCGCTGATGCAGGCTCATGCACAAAGGACAAACACGAGCCACAGTTAATGGGGGTGCTCACTTGGATACAATCAGAAGGGACTGTCTTCCAGCTGCCAAAGAAGAATCATACTTTCAAAAAGGTTTAGAGGCAAGAGAAAGCAGAGGGAAGAAATGGATATTATAATCAATGTGATTTTATATATAAGACGGAAATAAAGAGTACAACTGCATCAGTACAAATAATCATGAAGAGAAATGTCAAGAGATTGACAAAATTAACCAGCTGACATCAGCTAGAAATGGGATTGTCTTATTGTTCTCATTTGCTTCCATATTTTCCCACTTTTATGATATTAAAAAGTAATCTTTTATAATAAAAAAGCAAATATTATTTTGAAGTGCAGAACACAGCCAGCTGAGGGTGGGCTTCATGTGACCACCTGGAAGACAGACTTTTTATGGGCAGGAAAATACCCAAAGTCTATGAAATAATTTTGAACAAATTAAGAAAGTATCTGTGAAAAGTATTTCCAAGTGACATAAACGTGTTCGTAAGTATATCTTAACTCGCCATCATGAGGAAGACAGGAAAGCTATCTGCCATGTCCTCTTTCTCTGGCCCTTCTCCAAACCCAGGGTCAAAGTGAACAAGTGATGACAACTTCTCAGAGGCTTTCTTTTGAAATCCGATGCAGAGTGCTTTCCTTCCACTCCTGAGGGGCCTGGCACCTCCAGCTCCACCTGTACCTGCTCCTGCTCCTGGGCCAGCTACCCCCCTCTCCCAGTGCCCCTCCCACCTGAGCCTCCCTCTGTCTCACCCACTGCCCAGTTGCYCTTCCTGGAGCTGACTCCTCGTCTCCTAAGGAACTGAGTTGCTTTCACAGAGGGTTCTTTCCTAACCACTCTTTTGTAGCCCAAGTTCTTTCCCTTCTCTTTTCCAGTCTTTATGAGATTGTAGTGAGATATTCATTCAGATTTACTTGTTGGATGTTGTGYTCCACAAGGGCCTGAGTGCTGCGGGCCAAGACCACTGCCCACTCTGCCTTCCCAATGCACGCCACTGCTCTCACGGTGGCTGGGAGCCAACTGCCAACTCCTCAGATATAGCACTTTTGGGGCTCACAGAGCATCTGTCTTTTCTGTAGATGTTCATGCTGTCATCCCTGTCTACAGGAGAAGAACCAGACTCCCAGGTCCCCAGAACCAGGATGTGACTTCCAGGATAAGAATGCAGGATGTTGGGGCTATGTYTCGACTCTCCCTGTCCCCGGGCCATATGTGATGCAGGCTATTGCTTCACCAAGACACGCGGAACCACACTCTCCCTACCCACCATTTAAAAACAGAGATGACTCTGACAATATAGAGAAGGTCTGGGAGAGCTGGGTGCAGCAGCATGGTGGGAGACAGGCCCCTGCAGGTACATTCACACCTTGGCCATGGGTGCAGGGAATGGAAGGAGGCCAAGCAAGTCACTGCAGCTGCCAGTCATGGCATGAATTAAGGCACCCTCCAAGTCCACATAGGAGATAGGCGTGCAGCCCAGCAGAGGGCAGGATGAGAGCCAGGTAGGGAGCACCTGAGGCCACACTTGTGAAGCTACCTGGACACTAGAAGCTTTGCCTTCAGTAGCTTCAATGTGGTATTAGGCCCCCAAGGACACTCTGAAAAAATCAGCCACATGCAAGGACGTTTACACATGCTGAGAACAGTGAGAACAAGATGAACAGTGACACTTCCTTTTCTCCTTTCTACTGTAGCTCTTATTCAACCCTGACCCACTCTGACCTTATACTGACTTACGTGCCACAGAATGAAAACCCTCCAAACCTCCAGTTATGCTCTAGATTGTTTTAAAGTAAAGTAAACAAGACTTTTAACAGAAAGTAGCTGGAGAGATGGGAATTAAAACCTATTGGAACATCTTCAGCTAACAGATACTTAATCCCACACAATGAGCCCACCGCTTTGGTTGAGAACAAAATGACAGAGAACACACTTCTTGACCTCGTGACTGCAGTCTAAGGAGCAGGGCCATGACCATGCGGTCAGGAGAGGCATGGGGGCCAGTGGGATCAGTGCCTGGACTGAGGAGGTCCAGCTCTAAGGAAGAGGCAGCCAAGACTGGATCTGGAGGGAGGTCATGAGTGTCAGGTTCTGGGTGGGTGGGCTGTGACAGGGAGGGGAGAGAGGAAACGCAGAGAGGCTGAGGATGTTAACATATGGCCTATCACACCCGAGGGTTAGAGAATCAACCTGCTGGAAACAACCCACGGAGGACTTGGAGACCAAAGAAGAACATGGAAGGACATCCTGTTAGGGGTAGGAATTCATCAAAGGGTTCAAGTGGAGACTGAATTGGAATATCATTTAGTCTGCAAATGAGAGCATGAGATGGGAGTCAGGGAGGCCAATGACTTGCACTGAACTAAGACATGGCTACTTATCAGCTTCTTGTATGGCAGACACTGTTCTAGGTTTGAGGACACAGGCAAGTTTGAGATGAGCGTTATGGGCAAAGACAGGAGAGTGGTCTGTTGAGCAGCCTCTGCAATGCTCCAGGCAGCTACAGTGCAGCTGTGGAGCTGTGACACCACTCAGACTCCAACTCACCTAAGAACACTGCCTGTCAATATAATGCTGGACTGGGTGTTGGGTGAGAGAAAAAGAGGATTGAGGGTGGCAAATGGAATTTAGAGGTGGCCTTTGGTTGGAGAAATACCTAGAAGCAGTACATAGAAGCATAACAAATATGACAAAGAACAATATTTCAGGCAAGTCGCTAAGAGGATTTTATCCTAGAGTTTGTCAGAAGCAATCATTGAGAAGCACATGGCTGAGCTTACGTTAGGCCATGACTACCAACCCTAGAGAAGTAAAAATGATTGTAAGAAGGTATTTTAAATAACTGCACATCAACAAGTTGGGTAACCTAGGTAAAACACACAAGTTCCTTGAAACACATAAATTACTAAAACTGACACAAGATGAAATGAAAAGTCTCAACAGACCTATAACAAATAAAGAGACTGAGTCAAATTAAAACATCCCAGCAAAGAGAAATCCCAGACTTTAAGTGCTTGACTTCTACCAGACATTTAAAGAAGAATATCAATCTTTCAGAAAGAGGGGGAGGAGGGAAAGGAGAAGAATCTCAGAGAAGGAGAACACTACCTAACTCATTTTGTGAGGGAGCATGACCCTGATGCCAAAGCCAGACAAAGAGAGTGAACAACAGAACAAGATCCTTTATGAATCTAGAGGCAAAAATTCTCAAACAAAACCCAAGCTATGTCTAACAGCCTCTTAAAAGGATCCTAAACCACAACCAAGTGGAATTCATCCCAGGGCTACAGAAGTGGTTCAAAAAGAAAAACAAGTACATTATACCAATGGAGCAAAGGAAAAAATGAACACGTCAATTTCGATAGATGCAGGAAGGGCATTTGACAAAATCCAGCACTTTTTCTTCTGTTTGAAAACAAAAAACCATTCAGAAAACTAAGAGAGATGGAAACATCCCCCACATAACAACGGGCATTTGTGAAACTTATAGCTAAGACCATATTCAATGGTGAAAGAGTGAAAAATCCAGATCCCTGCCTTATGCCATATGTAAACATTAACTCAAGATGGACCAAAGACCTACATCTAAGACTCAACATGATAAAACTTAGAGGAAAAAAAAATGAACAGAAGGGTGAAAAACTTCATAACTTTTGATTTAGGAATGGATTCATACATCAAAAGTATTATTAAATAAAGAAAAATGTATAACTTGGACAATATATTATTGTCAGGATATTATCAAGGAAACATATTATTGTCAATAATATTATCAGGAAAGTAAAAAGAAAACCTATACAATGGGAGAAAATGATTGCATTTCATATATCTGATAAGGGTCCAGAATCCAAAATGTATTAAAACAAACTCTTAGAAGTCGACAACAACCAAAGTAAGCAATTCAGTTTTTCAACGGCAAGGACTAGACAGACGTTTCTCCAGAGAGGACACACAAATGTGTGTCGAACAGCACATGTCAGAAGCTCAGCACTGCTAGTCCTGAGGAGTGAAAAAGCAAAGAATCAAAGAACAAAACACAGAAATGCAAGTGTGGGCAGGCAGTGGAACAGGGAGCCTCCTGCACACATGTGTGGATGTGAACAGTTCAGCTCTGTGGGAGAAGCATGGCAGCTCCCCAGACAGCAAGAGAACCACCCTGCGACTCCCAGTTCCACCCTGGAGAGGGGTGTGTCCCCAAGAACTGAAAATGCACTATCCACAACAGTCCAGAGGCAGACACAGCCCATGTGCCTGCCCATGGCAGGAGGACAAATGCAGTGGGACACCGTCTAGCCAGGAGAAGGGACAACCCACTGACACAGCCACAAGGGGAACTCGTGACACCTGGTGAGTGGGAGAAGCCAGTGCGCACACACACACTGTGTTAACTCACGTTAACAGTCCTGAATGGGAAAACCCAYAAGGTGAAATCAGACTGGAGGCTGCCTGGCCCGGGGCTGGGGAGTAACGGTCCCTGTGCATACAGCTCTGTTCTGGTGCTATGACAATGTCTTGGAACCAGAGATGGTTCTCAATGCTATCACTGAACTGACAGCCCTGGAATTCTTCCTTATGAAACTCACGTGTTACAGGGACTTCAACTCCACAACTGCAGCCACACGCCCCTTGGCAGGGCTGCAGGCTGGGTGGGCACACCCAGCATGGGATCAGAAGCGTGAGGGAGTGCCATGCACAGCCAGCAGCATGGGATCTGCCTAGAAGAGAGGGACTGGTGTCCTTGGGAAGCAGGGCTGCCAGGTGGCAGTTAGGAGGACAGCTGTGGGAGCATCAGCAGCCCATGCTCTGCTGAGCAGGCACAGTCCAGGGAAGCTGAGCAGGTTCTCAGAAATGTGGACCTTCACTCAACAGACCAGTCGGGCTGCAGATGAGGGCTGGAGAGCTCGGCACTCAGAGGAGTCAACAGACAGAAGGAGACAAGAAGAAAGTATAGCATGAAAAAGAACACTGCACTTTTAGATGCTCGGCAAAGGTATTCCACGTGAGGGAGGGAAGATGTCCACGCACCATCAGGATCTAATTCCAGGTCCATGTCTGTCAGCGCTGCTGTGCGATTATGTCACTCAAATGGGTGCTGCCTTTTATGCTCCCAAAAAAAGCAGCAAGGCGTGGAGCTATGGAAATGCCTAGGCCACGACCGCAGCTCCAATGCACAACAGAACCCTCTGCATGCRCTTCCTTTTCCTAGGCAGCCTTCTGCCGACTGGGGAGAGAGGACCCCGGCCCAACCCTAGCACCAAAGCTTCCTGAGGTCAAGCACAGTGTCTTGCTTCCATACCTGTCCTCTCAGGGCTGCTCACTGCAGACTGTGCCCCCTGGCTCCCCAGTTCTTGGAATTTACAGGGAATCCATGCCGCGTTAGCCCATGYCACAACTCTGAGGTTTCTTCCTAAAATTGAGCTACACTAATTCTCTTTTTGACATTTGTCAAAAGTAAGCATCCTCTTGCTTTCCTTAACACCAGTGCCAGCTCTGTCAATTGTCAACTTCTTGAGACAAATACTTCACTGGCTAAGAAGCCTCTCTGTCACAACTTAATCAATGCTCAGATACTGAGAACAGTAGTCTTTTTTTCCTTTCAAAATCATGTAAACTGCTATGTTAATGATTCCATTTCAATGAATCATAATTTGGTCAGAAGCAGAAACTACAGACAGCATTATTTAACACAGAGGCTTCATATGTATTTTAGAAATTCACCATTTGGATTTAACAAAGTACATAATACCCATGATCAACCAGATCTTTGGTTTAATGTTAGTAAGCGGTCAAAAAGGTGGCAGGCACTTGAATGGCACTCTGGAAGGAAGATCCAAAGGAAGAGCAGTGTTTACTTGCTGCTAGGAAGCCACAGGGAACCGTGGCGAGACAAGGGCCATGTGTGATCACAGGGGTCACCCCACCCAAAGCCACAGGCCATGCTGCATGGCAGGCAGAGGGGTGATACCAACAGGCTGTGGGGTACGTGGCTCCTGCCTTGCAGGAGACGGGGAAGGGGAGCCACTCACGTCACACTGGAAAGGCTTCTCTCCCGTGTGTGTCCTCTTGTGCTCCTCCAAGCCTCGCTTCTGGCTGAAGGCTTTGCTGCACTCCGAGCACTTGTAGGGCTTCTCCTGTGGGGAGACCAGAGGGTCAGGGAGGTGCAGTCACCAGGGTTGGGGGTACCACCCCAACTGAAATGTCCCCAGCAGCACGGCACATCCTGTCCTGGCAGGACTGGGGGTGGCCTTTGTGATCCAACTCTTTTGCCTCACTCCAGCTACTCCTTTTGGCCTAGGATGCTGTAAGATGCACTGGGGTCCGGAGAAGAGAGCACGAGGATTCCGATCTAGGTGCTGAACTACCAGCTCAAAGGTGTTCCTGAACCCAATTTTGGTAAGTTTATACAGATACAACTCAACTTTAGTTMGCGTATTCTAATTTCTGTTACCCGACATTTTTTTCCTAATAAGATATTCTTTTTTTAACCTAAATTACTTTTAAAAATGAAGTATTTAAAAAAATGGTTGAATACAGATTCTTAAGGAAAACATATATCTCAAAAGGAAGAGAAAAAGAAATGTCCAAATTCCTTAACCATCTTTGATCCTGGGAACTTGACTGTATGATCACCTTTTCAGTCTGAACTGGAACTAAAATAAATGACATTGTTCTCTTTAAATGGCTGGCAGGTTGCTACTCAGTGCATAGTAAAAATGTTATTTTAGATTTAAGGACACTTACTGTTTTTGTTTTTTCAATTATACCTTCAAAATATTGTCATAAGTACTTTTTTGAATTGAGGCTAGCATAAATATATGCTTTTCATTTCCTCTTATATTAACACATTATATTTACATTATTATAAGTTTTTTCAGACCAGAAAACAGCATATAAGTAGCAAGGCAGACCCCTGTGCCCCACCAGCAAACAGGTAGGCTGTTGGGGCCCCAACCCTTCCTGAGAACCTCCCCCTCCAGGGCCATGGGACCACCCCCCTGGTGTGTGGACTGTTCGCCTGTCTCTATACTTTACCACTTGGGTATGATGAGTTCCTAAGCAAGAYAGCCTATTATTTTGCCTTTTTAAAGTATAGAAAGAATTCATGCTATATTTTTTGTGTGTACTTTTGAATCAAATTTCATTTTCTTCTCAAAATATCTTTATGAGCTCCCAGTCCTCACTTTAATTTTCTGAACAATATATTGCCCCAACTCGTTTTTAATGCCAGGTGGTATCATGTTTCATGGCTATATCTCAATTCACTTACTCTCCACTGATGGACAGTTAAATCTTTCCCACATTTCCCTCTTGCAAACAATGTTGTGTGAATGATCTTGCACATGTGCATACCGTGGGTGAGGGCATTTTTCCAAGGGGAGAGTGTTGGATGGGACCCCAACACTTCTGGGAACAGCAGATAGCACTACAAAGTTCATGAGCCATCCTACACTCCAACTTCCAGTGTGTGCTTGTGGGTCTTCTTATGCTACATGTCCTTGAGTGTGCAGAATTTAATAATTCAGTTGTTCCCCAACTTATCATGGGCCATGGTCTGACAAACTGCACATGCATCTGACATGCCTAGCTTGACCGACACCTAGGCTTAGCCCAGAGTACCCTGTGACCATGTGGCTGCCTGGGGGCTGCTGGGAGCTAGGCTCCCTGCTGCTGTGCACCACACTGAGAGAGCCCCCCACCCACTGCAAATCCTAAACCCAGAAGATCAGAATCCAATTCCCAACACAGTCTCCACTGAGGCAGGCCATTTGGGTGCCACTGCTAAGCTGGACCTTCACAAGGTCAGGGCTATCTGTGCTGTCCTCATGGAAGGCAGGACCTCCTGTGTCTGAAGTCATCTTTGTCTGGAATCACCCTCTTCACCTCTAGATCCATGTCGYTGTAATATGGAAAGTTAGCATTTGTTGCCTGGGACAGACATTCTTTCCCTTTCCAGCAGCTGGTATCCTCATGCATAAGAAGTGACTCTTGCAAGCAGCATAAGAATTTTTCAATCCAAGTTTTTGTGATCCAAAGGTCAAAGTTTTAAGAAGGCACGTTTTGTGACTACAGATATACATGAACGTACCTCTAACACTAACTTTCTGCCCTGCTTTTATCCTATTTGTTTTCTAAGTTTCCCCCATGTATGTTCTTAAATGTTTTGGATCAACCCTTTTACCCTGCATGGGTTCAGAGACTATCAACTCTGTTTCCATCCTTTGCATGGCTGTCCTTGGTTTTTACTGTGTATGTTTGACACCATCTAAAGTTTACCTGCTTTCCGGCCTGCTGAAAAATACCATGGTACAGGATGACCCTAGCTTAGGTGTCAGTGTGCAGCAGTATTTATGCATTTCTGCGTTTTTAATGCAGGTCTTAGTTCAGGCTACATTACTACAGATGGGTGCTCAAATCAACAGAAAATGGCGCTCCTCGCAGTTCTGGAGGTTAAGTCCATGGTCAGGTTGCTAGGACGGCTAGGTTCCAGTGAGGCCCTTTGGGGGCTGCAGACTGCCTGTCCTGGCTTGGTGGAGGGAGAGACCTTGGTCCYACTCACGAGGCTCCACCCCCTGGTGTCCTCACTCCCAAAGGCCCGCTCAGGCCAAGGTCTTCTTGCCCAAGAGATGATCTTGTTTTACGTCTTCAGTGAGGTCTAGCGACACACACATCTGTTTACTAGTTTTCCTGCTTTCTTATGTATCTGACTTACAAAGACCTGTTAGTGGTCAATTTTGGTTTTATTTGAAAGCAACTGTTTCTCATTTGCTATTGAATGAAAAACCAAGGACAGCCACACAAAGGACAGAAACAGAGTTGATAGTCTCTGAACCCGTGCAGGGTAAAATGGTTGATGTAAAACATTTAAGAACATACATGGGGGAAACTTAGAAAACAAAAAAATAAATAAATAAAAGCAGGGCAGAAAATTTGAATGAAAGCCGACACCTCTGATTAGATATAGACTAGACTCATTCTATTCTTTGTCTCTTGATTCCTCTTTTCCACTTCCAGGTCTTTGTGTTGCACTTTATGACATTTGTTCACAATCAGTTGACCGATTCTCTTCCCAGCTGTTAATAACCTGTGGTTTAACAGGACCATTTRAGCTTTTCAATGCTGTTACCGTATTTTTCATTTCTAAAGGTTTCACTTGTTTCTTTTCCAATTCTATTTAATCTTTAGATACAACATGACCTTTTTACTCATGTAACTCATATTTATTTTAAAATGTTCTAGACGTTTGCCAGTTTTCTTCACCTGAAATGTCATATCTAAATTTAAGGCCATCTAGTTCTGTTCCCTGTGGTTTCCTCTCCTCCTGTTCTGGCTCCTTTTTCTGTGGTTCTGGAATCGTGAGCTCATGCTTGGTGGTCTTTATCTGCTGGACTCCTGTGACCTGCCCAGAGGTGGAAGGTTAGCCCCACAGACTGCACGTGTGTGTGTTCCTGCCTTGCACTCTAGGAAGCTGTCAATCAAAGGCTGTTGTCAGGTGTACTTCCTGCCTGAGACTCTTGTGGCTAGGCAAGTATGTTAAGTCTGAACTCCGAGCACACTTGAGGAAAGGTCTGTGGTTACAAACAAGGAGAATGCTCTCCCAGCCAGCAGTTACTCCAAGCTAGTTAAAAGCACCCACCATTGCCAAAGGTGGGTGGTTACTAGTCCCTGGGATCTCCTTGAGCACAGTCCTTTGAGGGTCTCAGCACTGTGGTGGAAGGAGATTCCACACTGTCCCATGGCCTGAGCTCAATGCTCCATCTTTCCCTGACTCCTTCAAYCACCAGGTCTCAGGAAGACCTGCCCTGGCCACACCTGTTGGCCCACCTCCTCACTTCTGATTCTCTCTGGCGCCCAGCTGCTGGGACCTAGGGACACGGTCACACCCTTACAAGCTCAGATGTCAGCTGTTGGCCTTACTTCACCCAGCATCTCTGGAGGCTCCACAGAGGGCCTTTTCTCCAGGATATGGAGCATCTGCCAGGTGGCCAGAAATGGAAGTGTGTGTACTTTTGAAGATGTAAAAGGATACTTTGAATGAGTGTCACAGTTGTTAGGAGAACACTCTTCTTCACAGCTCAGCAATCGATGTCATCAGTGCTTCTCCTGCCAGTCTGAATAAACAACCTCTCTTCCCTTATGGCATTACCTTTGCACTGATTATTTCTTCAAATTCTTCAAAGCTTTTTAAAAACATTAAAAGGAAAATGTAGTTCTAAGAATTTAGAGTAGAAATTACTTGGAGTTTCTGAGACTGCTCATTAAGGTCCTTTTAACAGCCATGTGATTTACTGAAACATGTATTTTAAAACACATAGACACTAATATGAAGTACATAAGAAGAAAAGCTCTTCTTCCTACAGTTTGCAAGACTGAACATTCTGAAGACGTGCACCCTAGGGCAGCTGCTGGGCAAAGAGCAACCTGACAGGACCAGCCCTGAAAGGGCGAGTGTGAGCGCAGCTCCAGGATGAGAAGCCAGAGCAGCAAGACTGAGCGGCCAGGTCAGGGTGGCTCCTCTCAGTGATGCTGCCCAGCTGCACCCCAGACAGGTCTCACACTCTAGCTCCCTGCAGGCTGCAGAGGTGCTGGTGAGAGGCAGAGAGTCAGCAGAAGGCRCTCACAGCCCTCGATGTACTGGGCWCTGGCGTATCTGAACAGCAGAGCCACCCACAGGATGGCCTCAGTGACAGGCTACCGTGCAGTCACAGGTCACTGCACTTACATTTTCCTCGCCTACCTTCTCTTTAAAAGACTCCATGGGTAGACCACCATCAATGTGTGTCTACTTGTGTTCTTGTGGGAAAACGGGGTGAAATTCACGCTCCTCCAGTTCCTGCAGTTTGAGAACCGAAGGCTGACGAGGGCCAGGGAGGAAGCAGGTCTCAATCCACCTGGCCCCCCTCCTCTCCACCCAGAACCACTGGAATCCATGAGTCCCTAGTTTTGCTCCAAGAGGCATTTGTGGTCAGCTTTCCACACTAGTCTAGAAAGAAAGGCTGTCCTCAGACCAGGGAGTCCTGTGGAAGGCAGCTGGGTGTGCCTTCGAATGTCTGTCCCTTCGCAGTCCCTAGACTCACAGGAAGCTGAGATTCTTTCTGAACATCTCACAAGAAGGAATGCAGTCCTAAGAGAT